AGCGGCCTGGGCCAAGCGCCTGGCGCGGCGACTTCGAGGTGAGAGCTTGTGTCCCCCTGCCCTGGCCCTCCTGCCGGAACGGGGCTCCCCCGTCTCTCTCTGCTCGTATAGCTCGGCTGCCGTTTCCTGCAGGCTGGCGCGGAGAGAAACGTTTAAGAGTTGTTTGTAGTCCCTTTTGCCTTTTCTTCCACCCGCCTCTTACCTACCTGTCCTCTTTTCCCTCTACCCGTGTTCTTTTCCTATTTCCCGTCTGTCTGTCCCTGCTTGCCCCTGTCTGTGCCCCCACCTCTTCGTGCACATCCATATTCTGATCTCTGTCCCGGTTGTGCCCCCCCCCAGCACGCACAAATGCACGCACACCTCTCTCCTTCCTTTCCTCTGGAGCATGGAGCTCTGTGCCCCCCAGGGCTTAGTCCTGCCTGCTTTCAGTGTACTAAAACTACTGAAATACTGAGTAGTTTTTGGATACCTGTGGCTTTTCAGACCCAATACCAGCTCTTTGGAGAGTTGGAGCAGAATACTTTGTCTTTCAGCATCCTCTGTCCTATAAAAGAGGTGGTTAGGATGGCATTCATGCTTAGAATGGGGTTGTTGGGAGGGTGTTTTATTCATTTTTTGCTTTTCCGCAATACTGCACAGTGCCTTGGAGCTGCCCTTCATTGTTGAGAGCTGCCTGTTGATGCACAGCTGGTGACCGGGAACGTAGTTTGAAGCATAAGTGGGAGCACATCAAATGAGCATTTGGAGCATTGTTCTAACCTCACTGCATTAACTGTGCCAAGCTGGCCCTGTACAGGGTTGATTTGACATAGCAGAGAAAATGGTGGATGGGGAGTTCTTTGGATTCAAGGTTGTGGGAGCACATGTGAGAAACCCTCCTAAAATGTCACTATCAAATCATGAGGATTTTAAACGTGAGATTTGTTTAAGTGTCAGACAAATTTTTTATAGTTACAAAGCTGCAGGAAAGTAAACCATGTTTAGAAAATAAGGTTTCTTCTTCTAAACTGTGAACTTTCTGAAGTGATAGTACTATTACTGGCTGGCACAGCATCAGCAGAGGTGTCAAAACAAACCCAATTTTAAGCAAAGACTTGTAAATTAGGCTATTGTATGCCCTGTATGTCTTCACTTTGATTTTCACGTGCATTCAAAAATCGTTTGGTATAATGATTTCTCTGACTTCAGCTGTCTTGCACCAAAATAAATCCCTCTTGATCATTGCTGTGTTTTACTTGGATGCAAGTCAGACTTGCAGAGATGATGGAATAGGCATGTTTTATTTTCAGCAGATTTACATAGAATCATAGAATGGTTTGGGTTGGAAGGGACCTTAAAGATCATCTGGTTCCAACCCCCCTGCCGTGGGCAGGGACACCCTCCACTAGACCAGGTTGCCCAAAGCCCCATACAACCTGGCCTTGAACACTTCCAGGGCGGGGGCATCCACAACCTCTCTGGGCAACCTGTGCCAGTGCCTCACCACCCTCACAGTAAACAATTTCTTCCTAATCTAAATTGACCCTCCTTCAGTTTAAAGCCATTACCCCTTGTCCTATCACTACACTCCCTGATAAACAGTCCCTCTCCAGCTTTCCTGTAGGCCCCTTCAGACACTGGAAGGCTGCTGGAAGGTCTCCCCAGAACCTTCTCTTTTCCAGGTTGAACAACCCCAACTTTCTCAGCCTGTCCTCATAGGAGAGGTGCTCCAGCCCTCTGATCATCTTCATGGCCCTCCCTCTGGACTCGCTCCAACAGCTCCATGACCTTCTTATGTTGGGGGCTCCAGAGTTGGATGCAGTACTCTTATTGGGAGAGCATTCAATGAACTAAGTCACTTCATAACAAGAGACCAGAATGGCCAGGAAAAAATATCAGTGATAATTATGTGTGTTATGCATGAACAGGCACTGCTCTGTTTGGAGTCTTCAGTGGTGTGTTTAGGTTAGCCTGTCACTGGGATACCTAAATGCCTAGGAAGGGAGCTGCTTCGCATGGAAAAAGTGAAGTCCTTCTATAAAAATTCTTATCTAAGTAGACTGTTCAGATGCTCCCTTTGTACTAGTTGGTGCTGAGAAGGAACCTCCTGTATATGCTTTTAACTGTGGTGAAAAATAGTGTATTTGAACGTGAGGTGAGTGTGAGAGTAACTTCGTGATGACCTAACATGAGTTGCTACTGTTTGATCTCTGTCATGGTTTCTGCACTAATACTCAAAACAAATTATCCACACTAGGACTGATTTTGGTCTGGTTTCTGAGCCATTTTGAACCTGAAGGCAGAGCTTAATAACATGTGATTTGTGTAACGTCAGAGTATTCGCAGATGGAAAGAAAGTCCATCAGACAGACTTCTCCCCCTGCCTCCCCAAGATAACATTCTAATGAAGGCTTGGTAAAATACTTTGTTGAATTATCTGGATCTACAGCTTAGATTTGGGTTTGGGTGGAGGAGGGTTGCTTATTTTTAGCATGTTTTTTCCTAGCTTTTTTTGTTTGTTTGTTTAACACTGTAGAAGTATTTTCACCTTGTTCAGCTGAGCCAGCAGCAGAACCAAGAGGAGTTGGCTTTTGGCGAAGCTGTATTTTGTGCTGGGCAGGTTGAGTGCACCTGAGCCTTCAGCAGCATGAGCATCAGGCAGATGTTGCCAGAGAAGGTGTTCTGGCGCTGCTCTGATAGATGGGTCCCTTTCCTGTCCTGCTACCTAAAAGCAATGTATCTTGGGCTACCATAACCAGTTTGGGAGGTGATGCATGTCTGTAGCTTGAACTTTTTAATTTCTGCTTTCAGGCTGAAAGGTGAGGACCACCTTTGATGTGGTAACCTTATGCATCCTTTCGACTGGTGTGGTTCACTTTACGTGACTGGGTGTGAGCCTGTTAATCAGGCGTGCACTATGTGGAGAACAGTGCAAAGTTACACGTTCATGCAGTGCAAGAAAACAAAAAAATATTTTCAATAATGGCTGTGGACCAAACTGCCTCTTGTTGTTCGAGACAGTCAGTGTACACTGGTTGTATTCTATTTTTAGCTGTAAAATGAAAAGACTTGGTTTCATGTTCTAGGAATGTTCAGAGTGGATTTATCCCTGTGGTTACCATCCACAGTTTCTGTTGATTTCTGACCTGCATACATTTTGTGTTTATAGGCAAGTGTAGCTAAAGTTACTATAGTAAACAGATCCTTTTCTGGCTCTTTCATGAGAACATTGCCATTAATTCGTAGACACGGTAAATGGCTAGGTGTGACTTTCGTGCTGTGGAGGTACTGTGGGGTGCTGTACTTTCCTGCTGCATAGGTAACTAGACTCTGAAGAATATGATCACTGCAGGCTACACAGTGAAAAGGCCGATTTCAAGCCTGGAATTAATATAGGGCACTTGAAGGATAACTGAGGTTTTAATACTGGAAAGAACACTCTGTAGTTCTTTTGACATTGCGTGGATAACCGTGAGGATCTTTGAAGACTGGAAAATGGCATACTCAGGACTCAGTTTTATTTCAAGATGACTAGAGGAAAGTTAGCTAGATTTATTTAATGAAATTCCATTTTACTAGACAGAATTGAACAAGAGGGATTAATCCTTTGGATACCAAAAGTGATAGTTTTACCTTGGCTAAACAAGTTGCTGCTTATCAGTTGAGGGATATTGAATGACAGCTTACACCGTTCTTGCTGTCAGTCATGAAATAAAAATGCAGAGAGGATTTAAGGTAATTGGATTTTGGTAATTGCAACTGTGGGGGAGACAGGAATTTCTAAGTGAATCGAAAGTCAACTACTTCAGATGATCTGTATTTTAGAGTCTCTGTGAAGTAGCTTTAGTTCCTCCAGTTTTGCAGATCTCTTCAGCAAACATCCCAGATGCTGAGGGGAGAGGAGGGGGTGACTGTTCAACTCTGTTAAAGAGAAAGTCATCAAAAATTTTGATGGATAAGAGCAAAGTCCATTTCCGGAGCCAGGCTGGAAAGGTAATCTGCCTGTCGGAGCTGTACTTGGTCATCTAGTGCTGTTGTGTCCTCATGTGCATCCATACTAAGGAGTGTATGTGGAGCATTTATTGAAAGGTTTTCTTAGTTATTGTTAAATGGAAGTATCAGATAGAATTTCCAGTCACTCATTAATTGTTTCTTTCGTGAAGAATGCATCATGAAATTTTTACCGACTTGAACTAGTGCAGGCTCTGATTGTACCTTACCAAGGAATGCGAACTAAGGACTGTGAGACTGTTTTGTTGTTTTGGGACAAAGCTTCTTTGCCTGAGGGTCACTCTGCTTTCCTTTCCCCAACCCCATTCTTTCCCCAGCATCTGAATTTCAGTGTAGGCAGATTAGCTAGTGATATGTGTCTTGGCTTGAATGCTTCCAGACCTTAAGACTTTTACATAAATCTGAATTACTTTATATGCATTCTGTACCTCATAAACTTGGCTTTATGATTATGTAGGTATATGTGTATATGTAAGTACATATACAGTATATATATAACGTGTTATATATAAAACACATATATATACACATATATGTGTAAACAGAAAGATTTTAATTTCCTGTGTTACCTAACAAGCTAGATTTCTTACTGTAAGATGAAATTTCATCTCTTTTTTTATTTGCATTTGATCATTATTTTTTGACAACTCTTCTGAGTTTGTATACTCTTCGCGTAAGCCATTTGGGCTACGGAATGAGTATGAGAGAATCGTTACTTGCGGATTTGTGTGATAAATAGTACATGGATTCTGTCAAAAAGTTGACGAATAGCAAATGTGTATAAGGAATGAACTGAAAATGATTAATCGAGACTGGAAACAAAATGGTTTTTTGGTGCTTGCAGTAGATGTCAACTTAAATCCAGCACTGCTTACCACCACTATTCTTGATGCATCTAAACCAATATTCTAATAAGGCAAAAAGGGGAATAACGTATGTATCTTCTAAAAATGTTGCAACTAATGAAAGCTTCAAGCTGGCTGCTGGGAAAATCCAGAGTTCATTTAACACGGAGATCATTGTATGATCTCTGCTGCTGGTGGGTTTTTTGTTTTGGTTTGTTTTTTTTTTTTTCTTTACATGTAACTTTTCGTTTCCTTGCTGACTGACTCCTAACAATATTCTAATATGGCAGAATTTGAGCTTGCAAGCTTTCTGCTCGCCACATTTCTTATTAGTGAGTAATGTGCTGACAGCCGGGACTCGGCTCTCTCCCCCGCTTAGCTCACTGGCTGTTCCAGCCTTTTCTTCCTCTCCTCCGTAATGTTTTCCTGCCTTTATTATGAGGGTTGCTAGTGCAACGTAGTGCTGTGTTACAGGCGGAATTTGTTGAGTTCTTGATTATTACTGACTCTCTAAATGTTTTTGGTTTTGTGTTTCTTCCAGAATGACCTAATGGTGAGGATTTGCATTATGTGTAGTAAAGTTTCAGTCTTTATCTGTAAATTGTCAGACTTGGCCTTAAAGGACAGCTTTGAAAAAGCTTTCTTGTTTTGGGGGCTGACAATAGTGAAGGTTCTAAGTTACTCATTAAGGAGTGTGAACAGAGGTTAATACTAAGACTATTAGTGCTTGCTTTGCCTATGCAAGAGATGTTTTCTGGTTGACTTTGTGTCTAGGTCTCAACTTAAAAATGTGGTAGCTGGAAGGCTTCTAAAAACATCTAACACTTTTTTTTTTTTTTCTCCTGAATACGCCTCGTATTTGCAGGTAGAGGGAAGAGCTTCCTTACTCCCATCTCTTTGTTAGCAAATGAAGTTCTGCGGCAGGCAGATTAGCCCTTTGTCTGCCTTAGTCTTACAGCAGTGGTTGCAAAGCGACTGAACTCTCACTTCATTGTCAGCTTTAAAATGTGTGTTGGCTATCCCTTGTTGTTGTTCCATTTGACTTCAAATTACTGTGGTATGTTTGATGGATCCAAGATTTTTTTCCTAGAGAGTTTGAGGTTACTTCATTTCCATCTACTGAGAATGTAAAGGATGTTTTAAAAGGTTGGTCACTTAAAATACCTGAAAAGGAAAAGGGTGGAAGTTTGGTGCACTTCTGTAAGAGTGAATTTTTATTCTCTCCCACCATAAACTAAAGTCAAATCACCTTGCTTTATTTAGGCTTAAATGAAGAACATTTCCTTGAAGGTAGCAGTTCTGGTCTGAGCATCAGCAGCTGTTCCCAGCTTTTTTCTGTTCTGTGTTAGGCGTAGGAAATAAGTATGGCAGTTACTAACTGCTTTCTGTTCTCAGATGGTTGTTTCTTTTTGAGATTCCATTTAAAAGATCCTTTTGCTTTTCTGTTACCCTTTTGGAAGGGATCACCACAGTTCAATACCTTCTCTTACGCTGTTTTCTTGAGAATGTCTAGTATAATATGAAGCTAATAGCAGGCAGAAATAGTTCAGCTAATGCAGTTGCCCAGTTTGACAGCTCGGCAGTGGTTGCTCATTTAGGCTGCTGCTAATGTTTCAATGATAACTGTTTGTTGTGCAGGGAAAGAAATCATGTAGAAATACTCACCAAGATTCCTGCTCTGTCTCTGTTGGACTTGCTTATTTAGGAGAGGAAGGTTACTATTTGTTTTCTTTAAAAATATGTTTGACTGATGTATTCCCCTTTCAGGTAGAAAGTTAGTTAAGACTACTAATAAAGGTTGGATACTGAACATGCATTTTCATTCATCTAACAATGCTTTTCATATTTAAAAAAAAAAAAACAAACCACTGCACTTAATTTCTCAAAGATAGCTATCTGTGCATGTCTTTGTACACTTGTATCTGTTTCCATACCGTGTGGTTTTAAGTGACAGCACTTCTGGCAAATCTTCAGCAGGAGCTGACCTGTTAATAAATTATGGTATCTCATGAATAGCTAATACTACCTTGGGCCCCATTCAGCCTATGGAAGAAGTTGTTCTTGCTTGAACTGAGATCAGTTTAAAATCCATAGAAGAACCTGCAGCAGACACGACATAGATTAAGCTTTCAAAACCACTTAACTTACTGTGTCATTTGTGTCTAGTATCAGACATCTGTGTGCATCATTATGTATGTTTCCTTTTAAGGTCTGTGGTGGACAAGACTCATGGAAGAAAGCAACACCAGCAGAGAGCGATATCTGAAAAGTGTTTTACGGGAGTTGGTTACATACATCATTTTCCTTGTGGTCTTGTGTGTCCGTAAGTACCGTTCAGCATTAATGCTTCCAGTTCTGTACTATCTGCTTGCTGTCTGTGATTCCAGAATGAAGGTTGTTTCAGTGATGCAGGAGAAGAATTAATGGACAAGTGTGAAGGCAAATATTTGGAATTAAATCTTTCTCTTGTTTCTATGCATGGATTGTTGCTTGAGATTGAAAATGCTGCAACTTTCTGTGCCTTAACAAGTTTTGGACCTTTAAACAGGATGATAATATACTTATTCTTTGATTTTTAGGGAGCATTTTTTAATATATTATCACATTGCAGTGTAATGCTTCTGCTACAGTATTGAAATCACTGTACAGAACTGTTAAATATGAAGAGTAGGAGTTAGTTATCTAGGACAAAAAAATTAATTTAAATCACTGAGTTTCAAATTTATCACAAAGCTTATGTACAGATTATTCTAAGAATAAAAGTTCTTGACAGTAGCTGGAAAGGCAGAGATAATGCTAGCTACTTAGAAATACCTGATAATCTGTGTTTGCATGATGCTGGACATCTTAAACGCATCTGCAGCCTATATATACTCAAGTGTATATGGATCACAGCTGGAGACTTCCATGATTTAAGTGTGTCATTTGTTTTGTTGTGTATGATATCATATGAAGTAGTGTAACACTGTAGAACATGAACAGAGTAACAGTCAACCTGCTCTTTTTTATTATTATTTTTATTATTTTATTTGGCTTTTAAGTAGGTTACTGCTTTGAGGTAGGTGTTCTGGAGTCAACACTGAAGATAGTATTAGCAGATTCTACTAAATACAGGCATAGTACGGAAGTGAGGAGCTTGATGGATCCCCAGCCTCATACACAACAATATTCCTGGACCCAAACAGAGTTTAAGAAAGCAGCCTGAACTGAGTTTGTTGTTCTTTTCTCAGGGTGAAGAACCTTAGTGATGCCTGAGCACAGATAGAATAGGATGTTTATCACAGGCCTCACACAGCGCAGTGAACAGTTGTGACTGGTAGAATTTAATGGTTCTGAGAGCGGTCGTCTTTTCTGGCCTTGGAACTTGAAGCCCTCATACATGTCTATTTTGAGGTTTTTATAAGTTAATAGTCCTAACAAGTCATGTTCATGTGTTTGTATAAAAATTAGCAAGACAGTACAAAATAGAACTTACTATGGAGTTGTGAAATAGATGTTTTATTTGTTTACTAGGTAGAATAACAACAAAATCTGCATGCATTAAGTTAGTGTATCTTTGGAAAGCCCGTATGCCTCAAGCCTCCAATTTTTAGTGTGGGCAGTTCTGTTCTAAATGCCTGAAATGTCAGTGACACTTAAGCTGTCGTTTATGATCAATTGTAATAGAACAAGGTGATGTTTTTATTTTTTTGTGAGAGAGAATCTTGGAGTGAAAAGAAAATGCAAAACTACATTGGTAGACTGGCTCTGAGAACAAATCTGCCTTGCTTGTCTGGAGTAGAATTACTAAAAAACCCCAAACTTTCTACCGTTGACACAACTGTTTTGGTGGTCTACTGCAAGCAGGATTCTGTACTAAATACCATGTTTTTTTCCCCTCCTGAGTCCTTTAAGAATGCTTAGTGCAGGTTTATGGACAAAGTAGTATAAGACTGCTTGTGGCTGGTATGCTGTTCCACCAGGAGGGGCATAGCAGTGAGGGATCTGAATTAAAATAAAGTGAAATTGATTTCAGTGGGAAAAGTTTGACTGCAGGCTGTTAACAATTTGGTTTGCTATAGAAAAAAGATTTTTGGTAACAGAATAAAGGAACAGTATAGTGTGTTATATATCTACAGATACTGCTAACTCATTAGTATTTTTTTAAGTACTATCCTTTTTAATTTTACATGTAAGCAATAACTGTGGGACAGACTGTCGGTCAGTTGCTTGGCATGCCCCAGGAGAGAGCTTTCCAGTGCAGGCTAAATGCTATGGGCATTGTATTTTTGAGAGTATTTTAAGAGAGAATCCAGGTATTGCACAGTCATTTGATATGTTCCATGTGCCACAGCAGTTTTCTATTAAAAATATTTCTTGTTCTCCAGTTGCTAAAGAAAACACATTTTCTTTCCTGTGATAAAATATTTTTATAAAATTGTCAAAACTGGAGGTTGTTCAGTGTAGACTTAATCTTTCAGGCTTCTCTGAGTTTTAGCCATAAAATGGTTTTAAGTATTTATAGGCAGTAACACTATCAGTGCCAGAGACCATGCTCTCAAGCCATCTTAGCTTTGTAAGTCATTTTATAATTTATACTTTGTGGTCCTCAGCCAAATGCTTGGCCCAGTGCAAGGAAAAGCAGTAATACAAAATCATTTATTTTCTGTGGGGAGATACTTTTAGAAGCACTGCACATCTTGGGTGGAATTTCATTGTGTAACCGTAGGCGGCTAGTGTCATTCAAAGTGCCCTGCGATATCCTGGTTGACTGTCATTATCTGCTCAAGCAGGGCATAGCTCTCCTGAGGTCTTGTGCCATCTGTGCCAGCTCTCTATGGATGCCTTGGATAGCAAAGTCACCTCAAAAGGCACTAGCTGCCTCTTTTCAGGCTGCTCAATCATGCCTTTGTTTTTCTTGAAATTAGCTTTGTAGAAGCTTTAATAATACAATGAGGTGTCGGAAGGAGAACTGAGTGTTTTAAACTGCTTGATCAGTCTGTTCTTCACTGCTTTTTGTATTTTAATCACAGTTGACAGACAAATGCTGCATGGTATGGATTTTGTTTTGTTCTGAAGCGTAAATTTTTCAGCACAAAATCTATACAGATATAACCTGATGTATTCAAAACAAAACAAGCAAAGTACTCTTTTTTTTTTTTTGTCCCCCTTTTCTATTTTTCTTCTTTTTTTCTCTTGTCTTTCCCCCACCCGTTTACTCTTACTCCTTACCAAATCATTTGCAGTGACTTATGGGACAGTGAGTTCCAGTATGTACTATTACACAAGGGTTATGTCGCAGCTCTTCCTGGAAACACCTGTATCAAAAATGGAGAAAACTGATTTCAAAACTTTGTCGACAATGGATGACTTCTGGAAGGTAATCTAAAACTAATTTTTTATTTCTCTGTTGCTGTGATTTGCTTGTCCTGTCACGGCCTGTAAATTTCACCTGCGAGATTTTTTTTCTAATGCAGTAGGGGTTGTGGATGAATGCATCTATGTGCACAGTGTCAAAGCTATGGACAAAGTAGGCCTTGAATATGTGAATGTTTATAACCCAGGTAATGATAGTGGGGCAAGGTAGGGCAAGGTTGTGTCTTTGGAGGACAGGTAACAATAAGGCTTTATGTCAGAAAAATTATCAACTGCAATTCTAACACATGCACAGAATGAAGATCTGTAGAAACAGTGCTGGCAACATGCAAACTAAAATTCTGCCTTCCTCCTCAGTTCACAGAAGGCCCTTTGTTGGATGGTCTTTACTGGGAGATGTGGTACAACAACAAAACCATGGCAGAAAACAAAAGCTTCATTTATTATGAGAACCTGCTCCTAGGAGTGCCTCGCATTCGGCAGCTGAAAGTGAGAAATGGTTCGTGTGCGATACCTGAAGATTTAAAGGATGAAATCAAAGACTGCTACGATGTTTATTCTGTAGCTAACGAAGATACTGCTCCTTTTGGACTTCGAAATGGAACAGCGTACGTAGTATTCTTGTAGACGCATATTTATTTTTTTACTAACCTGGGTTATGCTGAATTACACAGTAAGTCACTTGGCAAAGGCAACTCTGTGTTTGCTGTATGTTCGGTTTGTAAAGCCAGGTAAATCCAGAGCAGCTGCCAGTTCTGCTCGTGGAGAAATCTTACCAAACCTGGAGAGGACTGTGCTCTTGAGCCACTTGAGTTTGGGTGCTGTCATTGTGCCATTGGTAGTTGTTGTGCATGGGAGACACGGTGTGGCCTGAGGGCAGCACTGCAACTCATGAGCACCTGTGTTAATTCCAGGTTGTGCTACTGCAGTGGGTTTCACTGAGTTGTCTTCCCTGGCAAAAAATGGGAATAGCACTGCCTCTCTTGGAGGACCATGTGTGAATTGAATGGTAAAAGGTTTTGGAGGTGGAACATAACTATGTAAATGACAATTTTTCTTTCTTTCCCTGAGGATAGAGGTTCCGTGTGAGTGGACTGATGTGTTCTCTTTTCACAATTAATATTCTTTCTATCTTAATTTTGGTGTGGTAGTCAGAGGAACTTTGTAAGTTCTGTCACCAGAGTATATCAAAACTTTCTACAAGTATGTCTGAAGTAAAAGCAGCTTTAAGTAACTGATTCAGTTTTAGTCAGGTTTTGTTGGTGTCTGTTTTGATAAGTCTAAGTTGAAAGTGGAGGGACACTAACATGCTCTGTTTCACTTCTGAACTAGTTGGACATACACCAATGAGAAGGATTTGAACGGGAGCAGCCACTGGGGCTTGATTGCCACATACAGCGGGGCTGGCTATTACCAAGACCTCTCAAGGACTAGAGAAATGACAGCTGTGCAGATTGCTAGTCTTAAGAAGAACCTGTGGCTGGACAGAGGGACCAGAGCAGCTTTCATTGATTTCTCTGTATACAATGCAAACATCAACCTATTCTGCGTTGTCAGGTACGAACAGAACCATGACAGTGTTCAAATTACACAGTGTAGGTTGTAGACTTGGGGTTTTCTTGCGATTGCTTTGTTTTGAGAACATGGGTAAGTGTATGTTTTGTATAAAGGAGACAGGCAACCGAAGTGGCGTGCCTCCCTGTCAAAGAAGTGGGACTCCACATGGCAGCTGCACTCACTGTCTGGAGGCAGTTCTGACTTTCCTGATGCCACAGTGGCTTGGGTGCGGTTTGCAGGCGACTTCTCTAGTGAGTTGGTGTATTAAAGTAAATACGTGGATATACATCATCAGTCTTTAGACAGCATGAAACAGATGCAGGTGAAGACAGGTTTTTCTGTTTTCTCGCTGTTTCTGAAATGCTTTCAGTTTTAGTCAAAATTGGGTGTGGTCAGGTTTACACCTGTCTAGTGTCTTCTCTGAATCATATGCAGGCTTTTGCCTGTTTCCATTATTTAAATAATTATGTAAATAAAACCATGTATCTCTTAGTAGAGCTTTTCATCAACGCTGTGTAAATGAAAAATTTTTTCTTTGCCTTTTTTTAAATGCAGGTTGTTAGTGGAGTTTCCAGCGACTGGAGGCCTTGTTACGTCTTGGCAGTTTCAGCCAGTGAGGCTTATTCACTACATCTCTACTTTTGATTTTTTCCTGGCAGCCTGTGAAATGGCATTTTGTCTTTTTGTTCTTTACTATATGGTGGAAGAGATCTTAGAAATTCACATTCATAGACTGCACTACTTCAGAAGTCTCTGGAATTGCCTTGATATCCTTATCATTGTGGTAAGTAATTGTTATAATAAGACTAAAATTCCTTTCTGAAATGCACTTTGAGGGAGACGTTAATGACTCGGTATTCCTATTGTAGGTTTAAGGGCTAGGGCCTTCATTAGGAAGGATACTTCCAGGCTATTGGGCTATTCAGTCTGAGTAAGACAATTTTAGTCAGTGTTGTAATGTTGGTGTGTTTTGCAAACTAGCTTGTTCTGTCTTTAGTGGTTTCAACCTTTGTGTCCTGGTGAAAAATCAGAGTATTTGTCCAGTATGGTTTTTCACAGTTTTTGTCTATAAAGGCACAGCCATTATGGGAGGTAACAAACTCACCCTCATTTCTCTTCTACATATCTTATACAGGCTATTGTAGTGGCTGTCAAGTAAGAAAATCTGTGTTAAGGTAGTGATTTGAGTTTGGAGAAGTGGGACTGGGATTCGAATATGTTTGCAAAACACCACAAAGAGATTTATTGTGGTATTAAAATACTCACCAGCTAATACCAAGTTTGAAGAAGTGTCTCAAAATTGTAGTGTTAGCAGCTGTCAGGGCTCCTTTCTTGGTTAAGTGGACAGTGTTGCACATCAGTAACCTTGGTGTAGCAGAAAATCTGAGCTTCGAATTTAAAGTTACATAATATAATTCTCTCTGGACTGATATCAAGCTGTGCTTACCAAAAGCATACAAAGCCAGCAGTGCTGAAACAGTTCTACTCCTATGCTCGTTTTGTGTCTTCAGGCTTGGACGAATCAACAGTTTAACTCTTGAAGTTAGTATCTATAAACTAGAGAAATCATACTTGCATCACACTGCTTTGTACATGAAGAACCATTTAGGAGGATGTTTACATGAACTGTGTGCCGTTTGATATACTGAACGGTGGGAGCAGGAATAAAATGCTTTGCTGTTACAGTCAGTGAAGTGTATTCAAGTGTGAGTGTAAAATTCACTTCACGCAAAGGGTCAAAATTCTATGTTTATACCTTGTCTGAGGGACATTTGTTTAAATTTAGGATTACGTACTTTATGACTCTGTATACATGGTGAAGTGCTCACACTAACAAAAAGCACATTTGCAGAGGTCAAAGCAAGGACCTTACCTGTATGGTAAAACTACATCATCTCTGCTGTTGCTCGTCCTGGGCAATACTGGTCAGTCTGTACTCTGGAGAAACTCTTAATACCTTTTTAGCTGCTGCTGTCTTTCTGCTCTTTAGTCTTTTTCACCTTTGTCTTCTTGAGTTGTCATCTTTCTTTCCTTATATTTCCTTCTCTAAGACAGCTTCATTTTTCTGAGTCTGCTAGTCTTTACCATCATCTTGTTCTTCAGCTGTGGCAAGGTAAGATTTCTAAATCTTACTTCCAGGTTATTTGTCTGTAGTCTAGGACTACCGTGGTTTTGTTGTGAAATGCATTTCCTGATACATCCAGAAATTCTAGTTTAGATCCTGCCTGAAACAGCATCCACTGGGCTGTTAAATTACTCCTGAGTGAAAGTTGGTGAAAGCTGTCCCCCTCCAGCCCCTGCAACTGCCTGGCTTTAAGCACTAATGTGATCAGTGACCAGCGGGGTTGACTCTGAAGGACTGCAAGAAGCTTGTATCAGTGATTTTTTTTTTATATTTTTTTTTTCCTAGGCTCTGTGTAGTCATAGAAATTCCTGTTTGAAAGTTTAGCTTTGTAGTCAGGACACCTCGAAAACAATATATTTGCTTTTACTTAAAGCTCACATCATGGTATTTATAGTGCTACCATAAAGTTCCTCATATCTTAACTTTATCTGACATATGTGGCTAAACCAAGTTATTTTAAAACTCTAATCACCTTGTGTAAATTTGTGTGTTTCTTTTGTACTCAGCTGTCTGTGGTAGCTATAGGAATTAGCATCTATAGGACCTCAACTGTTGATATGCTTCTGAAGAAGCTGCTGGAAGATCAGAACTCGTTCCCTAATTTTGAACCTTTGGCATATTGGCAAATGCAGTTCAACAACATTGCTGCAGTCACTGTGTTTTTTGTCTGGATTAAGGTAACTCCAAGACACACATCCTTATTCTAATCATTAGAATGTAAGCAGTATTCTGAGTTTCACGATACGTTATTTGAGGTTTAGTCATGTTTCACCTAAAATTGGTCATGCGAGAAAGTCGGAGCACAAGGGTTAGCTTCTTGCAGATTAAAAGGAAAGCTGTAATTTGCCACAGGTTTAGTGGCAGGTTTGTTTACGTCTAGAAGATGTATTCAGTGCTAGTGTTTTGTCACAGCAGACGTGTAATCTTTTTATTATTCCTGAATTGATAAGTCAGTAATTCTTACTGGGTACTGCTTTTTCCTAGCCTGGTTTAACTGTCATTATTTTGTTTATTCAAAACTTCTGAATCATTAGAAGGGTTGGTAAAGCTAGTCCAATTAATTTAAAAACTAAAATTAGTCTCTGTTTTACTGCCTTCTTTCTAGTGATACTTCTTTTCATGTCCATACTCATTTTTCTGTCCTCTGTATGTATAAAGTTGCAGAGGAACATTAGTTGTTAAGCTAACAGGGGAAAATGTAAGACCAATGATAAATGAATTTCCACTCTGATACTTCAAACTGATACTTAGGTTTATCAAGCAAGTTAGCTAATCTCTTACTGTTTTATAAGACAAAGCTGCATCTAATTTTTGTATAATGGTTTAAGAAGTAAAGTGGCTCATTACAAGAAATAATGGTAAACTGCAGAGTAACAGAATTATGCAGGTTGGAGGGGACCTCAGGAAGTCTCTAGTCCAGCCACCTGCCCACAGCAGTCAGCTGTGAGATCTTCTTTTGTCACATTTTACTACTTCATAGCTAACATCTTCATTGAAGATAAATAGGCTTTTAGAAGCATTTTGGTAACACTGCTGTCATGCCAGGGTGCCAAATAGAGGAGTGAAAAAACAAACAAATGAAATGCCACACCCAAACAAGAAGTTGGCATTCTGAAAGAATTTTCTTTGCACTTTAGGCCTCAGTGTTTTTAGGAGGTGATATATTTCTAAATGTAAATTAACTGACTTTGTCTCCAGTCAAATTCAGTAAGACATCTCACGTATAAAAGGCTGGAGAGCGATTGTGTTAAGAAATTGTTGTCTTCCTTGTCTTTACAGTTGGTTTTTTTTTTTTTCTTTTAACAGCTTTTCAAATTTGTTAACTTCAACAGAACAATGAGTCAGTTATCCACTACCATGTCTCGCTGCGTCAAAGATGTCATTGGCTTTGCTATTATGTTTTTTATTATTTTCTTAGCATACGCTCAGTTGGCCTATCTTGTCTTTGGCACTCAAATTGATGACTTCAGCACTTTCCAGGACTGCATGTAAGTACAAGAATAAAAAATGCAAAGAATTTCTCAGAACACTGGTAAATGGATTTGGTTGCTTCATCAGAGGCCAAACACATCTTATGATGTCCATCTAAACAGATAAACTGCAGACATATCACTGATGTAGTTCAGTAGCAAATGCATTTTTAATAACGTTTTTAGTTCAAAAACTCTTTGCTGTGAGATTAAAAATATGCTAAAAATGAGATAAAAAATGGCAGGTTTTGGTTGGTGGAAGTGACATGGGGTTTGTAACAGGGGTCACATTCCTAGACAAAGCAATTACTCTGTCTCCAGCAATTGAATGCCTATGTGCTTACTTATGTTCGTAATGCTTACTGAGATGTTGTATGCATAATAACGCTGTGTTCCTGATAGTTGGTTGACTCACAAATTGAGTCCATCTTAGACAGCCAGCTGGTAAATTTGTAAGTATCTGCTGGAATCTAGGAGAGAGATAGAACTTAATATAGGGTTGTTAATCAGTTTTTCCTTTATTGATCTGGTACAACATAACCTGATTCTAACTGAAGTAATTACCAGGTTGCCCAGTTACCGAGTTCCCCTTGCCCCCTTACATTGGGGCAGTGTTGCAAAAAGTTTCTTGTAGAGGAGCGGAGAAACTTGAACTGTGCTGATGTGCTGTATGGTGCCAAGCCTCTTCCAGCCTTGGCGCTGTACAGACACCTTTAGAGGGAGAGGGTTGGGGTTTGTATGAATGCGAGAGGCTGAAGGGATAGGAGAGGGACAGAAGTGGGTCTGAAAGCTTCACAATGATAATCATTTGTTTGCTCTGCTTCCTGTTACCCCCTGTATCAGTTGTGACCGAAAGCAAGAAGTAACTACCCTCGTTTTGTTCTGTGTGTGTGGCATCTGACTGCACGTTTGGTTATGCCTAGAGATGAGCTTGAGGAATTGACTGTTGCAGTGCCTGATAAAGTATTACAGTAGTGCAGACCTCATCATTTGCCCATCAGTCAGACTGTTAGGATAAAATAGATTGAGAATTCTTGCACAGCTCCAAAAGTGTTTTTTTTTTTCAACTCCTGGATGTGTTTTGTTTTTTAAGATTTACTCAGTTCCGCATCATTTTGGGAGACTTCAACTTCACAGAGGTTGAAGAAGCTAATCGAATTTTGGGACCAATTTATTTCACTACATTTGTGTTCTTTATGTTCTTCATTCTTTTGGTATGTACGCCTTTGTTTATGTGGGGTGGGTAGGTGGCCATTTTTGCCTCTCTTGTTCTTTGATTCCTACTGCTACTTGGGGCTTTTTTTGATAATGGTGAGTGTGCAGTCCATGTAGGAGTCTAACTTGTTACATGGCTGGTCATTACACCCTTTCATTTTTTTTCTTCACTTAAAATAGATTTGCATTGTATGTTTGTTGTCATTCCCACATAATGTTCCACATTGTGTTTTTTTAATTTATTTTTTTTTTATTCTTACACATAATTTTTTATTTCTAAAACCTGAATAGTCCTAGTTGGCATACACAGCAAGCCCATATCTTTTGGTGAAAAATAGCTGTAATGTTCCATGCAGGCTCTTAGTTTCTAAAGTGCTCTCACGCATGGCTGGCTGTGTTTATGACAGCCTGGTTCATGCATGCAACACACAGCTTGCCTGCTAGAAGATCCTAATTCATCAGCAGTGCAGCACCTTTCAGATATGCAGGTTTGCTTGCAAAGGCCTCTTTTCTGTCCTCTTTTCCTTCTCCAGGGCAGAGTTGGTCCCTGTCTTTCTGACCTTCCCAGTGCAGATTACCTGTACGCTTTTTGACAAACAGTATTATAAGAAGCTCAACTTATCTGAGAGGCAGTATGTAGGCATCATTGTCGAACAAATAAATTCAAACAGGGAGTATATTGTGAGTGAGTACTCATCTTTTGTATGCTCTCTGTTAATACTAGTATTGAATCCATTTTACAATCTTACTAATAATTTATATAACAAAGTGGAGGGAGGAGACCTCTCTCTTAGAAACCTAGGAGACCAAGTAAATTATTTTTTAATGTCAATATAAGTGAAGAGCCCCAGTATCTCCTACGTGGACATAGTTTTCAGTTAGTTTGGTACTAACATTATTATATAGTAATTTTGTTTCTGATGATATCACCAGGCAGAAGCTGTTATATGAACAAGAAATTCTCAGATTATTTCCCAAACTGTGTGTCTTTTGGTGATTTGATAAGGTGATGAGCATTAAAGCAAGATTTTACTAACCTTAAAATGGTACAGCAGTCCTGTATCATCATAACTTTTAGAGTTATTTAATGACCCTTGTACTTAATGAGGCTTTTTATTATTCTTTGAGATGAGGAGAAATTGGCATTCAGATATTATTTGTGGGAGAAGACTTCACCTTGGCTATTCACTAGTAAGGAAGCAGAGAATATTATGTGTTCAGTGAGATGGACGAGTAGTCAATTGGAAAAATAACATATGGGTCACTCTAGCCGAAGAAGCACATGAAGCGGGTTTCATATTTGCTTTGAAGCACCTCACAAAATCCAGCAAAGCAGAGGCTAGTGTCCAGCAAGGGAAAGAAATATATTTTTTTCTAAGGAGTAGAAGAGAAGCACTGAAGTGTGAAGGCACAGCAGGTGATCCAAAATACTCGCTATAATTTGTGTGCTTATTAATATCTGCATGTCCTGTCACTTGGCTGGAGTGAAATGTTGCTGTAAACTCCTTGAGACTAGTCTGAGACCCGGAAACTAAATTAAGGAAGATGGGCAGAAAACACCAGCTCTTAATGTTGGGCAGCTGAAAGCAAAATAGACAGTAGTCAAGTTACCTCTTTCCTGCTGTTGGGCAAGAATGCATAAAGATACAGCAATGGAAGATTGTTCTCCTGAAGCAGTTTTTTAAGTCCGTGAGGAAAGAGATGTTAATGCTGCTTTTCTGCATGAGAGTGGCACGTTGAACATGCCAGTAAATTGAGTAATTCTTTTTGAACTTGAATGTCCTGCTTGCAGTTCAGTCATGTTTACTCCATGTTCAGC